GGGTTTGTTTAGCTTCTATAATTGCAACATTGTTGCATCTGGAGCTCAGAGCTGGGCCGCAGCAGGCGGGGAACCTTGGCTTCCTCCATCACTGGAGCAAGCAAGCCTCCTGTTCGCTTCAGCTGCCTGGCTGCCGGCCGCCATCTTAGTTGGCAGTTAATTTGCATATCTCGCTGATTAGCCAATGGGAAGGGTAGCGAAGTTACGGTTAATTACCATGTTTCTCTATTATTAGATAGGATTACTGATTACAATTCCAATGTTGTAGTTCTCAATCTCTTCACCTTTTTCACCCATTCCCCCAACTCCCCTCCCTTCTGACAACTGTCAGTCCGTTCTCTGTATCTATGAGTCTGGTTTTTTTTTGTTTGCTTGTTGCTTATTTTGTTCCATTACATTCCACATATAAGTGAAATCATATGGTATTTGTCTTTCTCTGACTGGCTTATTTCACTTAGCGTAATACCCTTTAGGTCCATTCATGCTGTCACAAAAGGTAAGACTTCATTTTTTTTTTATTTTTATTTTTATTTTTTTTACGGCCAAGCAGTATTTCATTGTATAAATGGACCATAGCTCTTTTATCCACTCATCTACTGAGGGGCACTTGGGTTGCTTCCATATCTTGGCTATTGTAAATAATGCTGCAGTGAACATACACATGCATATATTCTTTCAAATTAGTGTTTCAGGTCTCTTCAGATATATACCCAAGTGTAACCACTGGGTCATAAGGCAGTTCCATTTTTAATGTTCCATAGTGGAACATTCCATAGTGGTTGCAACAATCTGCATTCCTACTAACAGTGCACTAGGTTTCCCTTTTCTTCACATCCCAAATATATTTATTTGACAAATAAAAATTCTACATACTCTCTTAAAAACAACAGAATTATTTCCCAAAAGATTTTTCCAGTTCCATTTGTAAATCACTTAACTCAGAATAAAATCTAAGTCTAAAACTGAAAAATATTTTCAATCTCATGTGGTCTAATCTCTTCTTTTACAACAACAAAAAAATCACAAATCATATAATGATTTAAAGACTTAGCTCAATTTACACTTAGAAAGATAAAGCTTATTATACATCTGAACTATTATGTGCCTGTCACACAGTCGGTACTTAATACTTGTTGAAAATAGCTAAATTTCAAAACTAACTGTTCTGTCAATTACGTTTTTGAAAAGAAGCTAAGTATTTAACTATAGTCAATTAGGAAATAAGTTATATTATCCCTATTAACTTTCAGTGTATATTTTATACCTTATATCCGAATCTGAAGACTTCTCTCTCACTGCCAACTTCGTAATCTCTCCTTGAGACATAGTCTTATGAAGTTTTGTTTCTTCATCAACCGAAGAAAATCGTTGTGATGTCTGTAATAATTACATATGTGGAAGACTTTAAAACTAAGTAATATATCATAGCACTATAACTGAAATTCAGGTTATATAATTTTTTGAGAATTACACCTATTAAAAACATACAAAAATACATTAATATTATACAGAGATTTTGACATAAGAAAAACTATTAAAAACTCTTCCTGGTGTAATCTGAAGTAAAGAAAACTTGAGTCAATGAAAATGCTAAATAGGACCTACCAGCTCATGTTTTCTGACAGTTTAACAAAAAATATCAAGTGGAACGATAAGAAAAAAGTTAAACCATCTAAAGATACAGACAAAAGATCCAGGATCTGACAAATATAAGATGCTAAGTACAGTCTTTCATAGCTCATTTTTATGGCTTAACTTGCTATTATAGATTTTTATTATATCCAGGAAAGGATTTAAAAGAGCAAGTATACAGAAAGATAAGAAAAAACAAAGGAGCAAAGAATAAAAAATCATTATCACCACCAACAGTCTAAATTATAAACAACTTATATGGCTATCCAACTGGGACCTGAATTTCAATTGGCAATTCCTGTGCCACTTGTTTACAATATGCCTTTTTAAAGGAGTGAATTTCCTGTTACCTATTCAAGTCATTTCCTAATATTTAATTTTTCTAAAATTATAATATCTTTTCCTTAACCCTTTGGTCTGCCTGACTATGGCCTTATCAACAAAAACAATCTTGAGTTGTTAAAATTTAAAGAACAAACTTCTGCTTCTGGCAAAGATGAAGTAAAAGGGACCCTTTTTATCCTCTTGCTGAAATAACCAAAAACAGAAACCCATACAAAACAACATGAAACAGCACTTATCAAGATGATGGACAGTTATCCCTGAGAGAGGAGAAAAAAAGAAAGTGCGTCCTACAACTGCCCCAGCTTAGTGACTTGAGGTTGTTTCCAAGTTGTGACAGAGAGGGAGAATCCAGGTGAAACTTGGCAGACTCTCTGAGCTGAATCCATGAAGCTAAAAGTCCACAGAGATGAAGGTGACCAAAAGTCAGGAGATTGGAGAGAAGAGGATGCACAGAAAAAGAACTTTGGAGATCTTCAGAGTTTACACATTGAGTATTTAGTAGAGTACTAATCAACACTTCTGTGTCAGAAAACTGCCCAAGACCAGGAAAAGGCCACCTGAAAAGATTAAAGGTAATAGTGCTCATCCAGTGCCTGTGCCCAAGAGTCAGAGTACACAACTTTATGATTCCCAGGGCACTGAGTAAAGTACATTGAGAATCTTGCCTCAATAGTCTAGCCCCGTGGTCGGCAAACTGCGGCTCGCGAGCCACATGCGGCTCTTTGGCCCCTTGAGTGTGGCTCTTCCTAAGCTTTAGGAGTACCCTAATTAAGTTAATAACAATGTACTATATAGTGTAAGTTTAAAAAATTTGGCTCTCAAAAGAAATTTCAATCGTTGTACTGTTGATATTTGGCTCTGTTGACTAATGAGTTTGCCGACCACTGGTAGCCTAAGTACTGCTCTGCTTGAGCCTAACAAATTTTTATTTTATTTAATAAAAATTATATATGTTTGTTGTGAGAATTTTACTTACATATAAATAGTAAAAAGATAACTAAAGTCAAGTTAATTAACATATCTCCTTTGCTGATGAGAGCACCTGAAATCTACTCTCTTGACAAATTTCCAGTATTCAATACAGTGAGCCTAACAACCCTTAAAAGAAAAACCTAAAAGGACCAAGTTGCTTCCAGAACAAAGCTTTGGAATATTGCTGAAATATAACAGGCTCAAGAATATTAATCAAATATAAATATCCAACAAGACAAAATTCACAAAGTCAGGCATCCAGTAAGAAATAACTAGGCATGCAAATAAGTAAGAATATACACCGAGAACGAGAAGAAAAATACTAACACAAATGTTATCGAGTACTGGTAGTTAGAGAACTGACTAAAAGGAAAGAACATAAAATGGCATGTGATTCAAAATGGCATATTTTTAGAGGCATTATTTCTGAGGTAAAAGAAGATAAAAAGGGGAGGCAGGTGGGCAGCCACTGAGGAGCAGCAGCCAAGGCTTTGCGCTAGCCCATAGCCAGGGGCCTCAACAAGGGCCACACCAAGATCATGAGCAAGTCAAGGCACAGCCACCACCGTGGATACCTCACCAAGCAAACTAAGTTCGTGTGGGACATGATCTGAGAGGTGTGTGGACTTTGCCCCCTATGAGTGGCATGCCATCGAACTGCTCAAGGTCTCTAAGGACAAGAGGGCCCTGAAGTTCATCAAGAAAAGGGTGGGGACACACATCTGTGCCAAGAGGAGGAGAGAGGAGCTGAGCAATGCCCTTGCAGCCATGAGGAAGGCAGCAGCCAAGAAGGACTGAGCCCCATCCCCTCTGTGTACAATAAAACCTGTTGGGGGAAAAAAAGAAAAAAAAAAAGGAAGAAAGGGGTGCCTTTTGGAGATTTGGCATTAAAGAGGAAACACAGCAGAAGGTAAAAATTTATAACCCAACGCCTGGCCAGCGTGGCTCAGTGGTTGAGCGTCAACCTATGAACCTGGGGATCACAGTTCAATTTCTGGTTGGGGCATATGCCCGGGTTACGGGCTCGATCCCCAGAGTGGGGCATGCAGGAGGCAGCCGATCAATGATTCTCTCTCATCATCATTAATGTTTCTATCTCTCTCTCCCTCTCCCTTCCTCTCTGAATTCAATAAATATATACATATATATTTTTTAAATTTATAATCCAGCAAAACAAACGAAAAGAAAAATAACAGCAGACACAAAATGCCTCTGCCATCACAAAAACAAACCCAAAAAGGCTGTATATAAAAGAAACTGAACTTTGCTACAATGGTAGAAGAGAAAGTGCTTGAACTTGTTCTTATAAACTACTCCAAATGTACAAAACTAATAAGTTAAAACATACAAAATCTACACAAGCTACAGTAAGAAAACCAAAATTCAAACCAAAACAACTCAGTTGGTTAACTCCACATCCCACTGCCCCTCCCCCCGAGAAAAACACACCAAGCTCGAAGCAGAAAACTGTAATTCAAAAATGAATTAAATATCCTCACATGTATGAAATACCAGTAAGAAATGAAAAAACATGTTGAATGAATTCAGAAAAGGAATAAAAAGATAGTGCAATGAAGACTAATTTATAAGATGACTAAGGGAAAAAGGTACAAATAAAAATTTAAAGGGACTAAACAAAGGCAGGAAGATAATCTATATATTTGAAAGCCTAATATGCAAATTGTCTCCTTGGGAGTTTGGGAGTTCAATCACTCACTATGACATGCACTGACCACCAGGGGGAGGCGTGGAATGAAGGAAGGCCGTGGCTGGCAACTGGCAGCCAGGGAAGGAAGGCCCTGGCCAGCAGCGGGAAGGCCCCGATAGGCCCTGATGGCTGGCCAGGCCTAGCGACCCTACCCGTGAATGAATTTTGTGCACTGGACCTCTAGTAAAGAATATAAGGTGATATAAAGAAATAAGGAAAAAAGGGTCAGAGAGAAGGTGGCTTAAATGGAAGACAGGAAAATAAGAAAAAAACTTATTTATAGTAATTGGAGTTCCGAAACAAGGAAAACAACAGAAATTTAAAACAATAATCCATTAAAACTATTCATAAATAAGGCAAGACCAGAATTTAAATATTGACAGAGTCCTGCAGGTATATGAAGTAACTGATCTGTAATGATCAACTTGAGGACATATCAGAAACTTTAAATATAAAGAAAAAATTCTGAAAGCCTCCAAGAAAAACAATCAAATAACTTATGAAGGCAAGAAAATTATACTGGCAATAGACTTACCAAAAATAACAAATAGAGCAAGTAAACAATAAAACATCATTTAAAAAAAATTCAGGGAAAGTATGAATCAAGGATATTATATATGGCCAGGATGTCCCTTCAAATATCAAGCCTTTAAAAAGAACTCAAGGAATTCCACATCTATGTGCCCTTCATGAGTAATTTACTAGGGAAGACCTTCATCCAAACAAGAGATAAATCAGGAAACTTCAGCAAAACATTTAATGTCATTATTCAATATATTTAATAGTATATCTCAGGCAAAAACAAGGATGGGGACTAGGGTAAAAGAATAACCTGGAAAATTACACGTTCTGACAAAGTTGAAACCTAAGAAATAAGAGTTGAAGGAAGAGGAAAAGTAGAGAGTAGAGTAACTCATCAATAGTTGGGTCACGGTAGATGAGAATTAAAGAATATTACTCATTAAAAAATTACTGGAGAATAATTGGTTAAAAAGTAGTAAATAAAAGTAGTAAATTAAAAAGTTATATACAAAGGAAAACAACCAATAGAACAAGAACACAATCTTCCCTAAATATCAAAAGAAATTTTTAAAAATAAGAGAAAAAAAACACATGTAACATAACACAGCAAATTTGATGTAGCACAATATAAAATTACTAGAGGCCTGGTGTATGAAATTCATGCACGTATAGGGTCCTTAGGCCTGGCCGGAGATCAGGACCAATCGGGGTCTTCTGGCTGCTGGCCAGGGCCTTCCTTCCAGCTGCTGGCCGGGGCCTTCCTTCGTTCCGCGCCAACCCCTGGTGGTCAGTGCACATCATAGCGAGCAATCGAACTCCCGGTCTCCCAACTGAACTCCCGAGGGGACACTTTGCATATTAGCCTTTTATATATATAGATAAGAGTTGAGACTGAATTGTCAGTTATATTAATAAATAAGAATAGATTGAACTCATCTATCAGGGGAAGAAATTTTTAATTTGGCTCACAAAGCAGGACCAAACTCACAAAAAGATCCAGAATGGCTAAAATAAGGGATGACTAAAAGTATTCTGGACAAATAGAAATAATAAGAAAACGGAGGTTGTGGTATTACTATTGAGAAGAATTCAAGCAAAACGTACTGAATGTGACAAGAGCCACCATTCATAATGAATAAAAGGTGACTTTAACACAACATTCATTGTGTATAAGACAGATCAAGTGTACAAAAAGTAATAAAAATATAGAAGATAACATAATCAATAAGGTAGAGATTATGGATATGTACTAAAATTTTACACTATAAATAGAAACTATACCTTATCAAATGCACATGATATATTCACAAAAACTGATCACATAATAAATTTAAAAAATACTGATTGTTTCATAGGGAAAGTCTATGCAATCTTCAAAGAGCAGAGCCACAATGCTATAAACTATCCCTAACTTTCTGAAAGGAATAAAATAAACATATAAATACTCAGTGTATTTAACATTGTGGCTGTTGTGTGGGGGCCACCAATCCAAACCTCTTACGTCATAAACTTTGTTCACTACCAACCAGCTTTCCAACTATTAAGACCACCTCAAAATCACTAGCCTAGGTCCCAAAATCCTATACACATCCTCTTTTGACTTCCCCTTTCTGAGAAATTACTAAGACCTAATCAATGTTGATTTTCACTTACTATAAAATAAGTTAATAAACTTAGCCATACTTAATCAGCAGGTTTTTCTAGCTGATTTTGGGGGAGTGGAAAAGAAGGAAAACTTAACACAGATAAGGATTGGAGAGTATCTCAGAGAATAACACACAGAAATAAGAATATAAGAAGCAACAACAGTTGGGGGATGTGAGAAATTTAGTTTTATCATACTGGAGATAAAGAAGACAAATTCTGGAGTGCTATTTTGGAGTCATACCCATAGAAATGATTGGTTTAACTCTGGAGAATAGTAGAAGAAACTGTACAGAGAAAACTGTAATGTTACCTAAACCAATCCTATGAATAAGGGATAGAAATTATTTTACTAAACTCACCATTCAGAAGATTGAGAAACTAGAATCCTATACAAAAACCACCTTACAAATACTGCTTAGCAGAATGTGTCATTCTTCTTGGGTAAAAGCCAATATAATGGGTATAAGAACTAAGTGAGAGCAGCATACAGAGACTAAACAATTATTCAAATGGCAGAGTTATAAGTAGGAATTTTAAAAAACACACACACCAAAGTCTTAAGGAGGGAAACTGCTATTCTTGTTTCCACTCCTCCACAACTAGTTAACAACTGATGAGCAACAATTCATCAACTTAGGAGGTAATGCTTATCAAACTCCCTTTATGTAATTCATTAATAAACTGCCTTTATCCCATTAGATGTTTCACAACTGGAAAGGATAGATGGCTTCTTCCAAGATAGAATTGACACACATTCTAGCAAAAGTCAGTGATGGGATCACTTTGTCTAGTAAAAAAAACTACAAAACAATGATGTTTTTAAAAATCCATGTGCCACAGAATAAAGCCCATTTAAAATCCTAAAGATATCTCAATTTTGAAAATTCAGTAAATTCCATTTAGAAACAATTAGTCTTCATCTTCACAATATCAGATAACATTAGAACATGGCATATTTTCAAGATAAACAGAAACACTTTAAAACTGTCCCTACCCTTCCCACCCCTAACCCCACCAAATATCTATCAGCATATTCTAGAAAGCAAAGCTTCTTCATGCAAGTATCCACCAGAAGCAACCACCACCACTTGTTCCTAAAATAGTAATGAAACAGAAGGGCAGTGAGAAAGCTGGAGAAGTGACTAACATACTGCAGAGGGTGTTCTATAACTACTGGCATGCAGTGACCGTCAAGCAGGTGAACAGAATCATTGGCAGAGGCTACCAGCTAGAACCCTTAAAGGGGCTGAATGCTCCAAGCAGAAAGCCCAACTTCCTGGTTCATCTCAGTAGAGTTCTTAGTAAGAAAGAATTCTACCACCAAAAAGACTAAGGTTTGTAACAAAGGAAACTCTCAGGAACAAAGCAGCAATTACAAATGATAAGTTCTTCCACAAATAAAATATTTATTTAGGCTTTAGAGAATAAATTAAGCATGCTCCCTATTCACCGTAAAAAAATATGTAGGTAGTATTTTTCATTAAAATTAGTTTGCTTCATTACATAATTCATCTTTAACTAATAATCATAAAAGAGTATGTGTTGCTATTTATAACTAAAAAACAAGGCACCTCCAAAATGGAGTTATTTTATTGTACCTAAAGAGAGGGCTTTGGCTCTAATTATATATATTAGTGATATACAAACTGTTCCAATCATTTACAATCCTACAGTTTGGCTCAGTGTAAGGAATCATTTGTCTAATTAGAGAATTGATAGTGCATTTTTCTGTGTTGTTTTTTCTTTCTTAGAATGTCAATACTGTCATTTTAAAACTGGGTCTATCTACAACAAAAGATAAAGAAAATGAGAATATTCTGGAAATTAGCAAACATTTTAATAAACTCAATCTTTGGCACAAACAGCTTAAAACAGTTCAAAGATAAAATATTTAATGAGTCAAAAGAAGACCACTCTAAAATTTTCCTCCCATAAAAAAGAATGAGATCCAACTTAATTAAGGATACGCATGGTAATAATCTGCATATCACTCCACGTTTACCAGTGTAATGTTTTAGTACATAACAGACATACAGGGTCCTTATATTGTGTATTTTCCAGGTCAATTCCAAAATTAACACTTTATATGCACAAATACATTCACACTTGCCCAACTATAGGGTGTCCACCCAAAATATATACACATACTTTAAATAATTATAAAAGCAGTGTTTATTAAAATACATTTCATTTTCAAAATTGAACTATCAGCTGTTAGTGTGTTTACATATTTTTTTGGGGGGGGACGTGTATATATATCTAATTTTGGTTGAGATCTGATGATGAAGTTATATTCTTTGTTGAAATAAAGCAGTTTTATTCAAGCCTAATTCCAATGTTATAATTTTTGATTATAACAAACATTACATTACATACAAAACCTCTACTTGGCTAGGTTGGTCTAGGGAGTCATTTTTGGCATTGCTCATTATGTAAAATTTTTAAAAATCCATGTTTATTTTCTATTACTAAAAAATTAGGGAGGGAAAGCAACTTTAAATGCAAAAAAGAAAAAAAAGAGAATACCATTTCAATTAAAAGCTATTGGTTATCTAACTCTAACACATAACCTAAGTCACTAGATCAGAGAGGGATCAGCAAACTATGGCCAACAGGTGAAATACAGCTTATTGCTGTTTTTGTAAATAGTTTTATTGGAACACAGCCATGTCCAGTTGTTAACTTATTGTCTCTGGCTGTTTTCACTCTGTGGTGGCAGAGTTAAGTAGTTGCAACAAAGACTGCTTGACCCACAGAGTCTAAAATGTTTACCATCTTACCTGTTACAGAAAAAATACTTAAGGGTCCATGTTCCAGACCTTTCAAGACATAATACAGAACATTTCTACATTAAGTTAACCGTAATGCTGCCTAATTTATGATTTGACATAAACTGCTAAAGTGCCTTTTATCTTTGTCCTATTAAAGTTTAGCTTATTTGCTGTGTTCACTGAGGTTTCTCATGTACAAACCATTATACAGGGAAGAAGCTGTGAAGGTTAGCTTTAGATTAGCAAAGACTATGCCCATCAGATTTGCTTGTTGCCTATTTTTCTTATATAAAATTACCATTTCGGAGTCACTGTGAGAGGCCTGACCCAGGATGGGAGCTGGCCCTAGCTCAGAGTGAGAAGGTTGGTCAAGGGAGAGAAGGGGCTCAATGTCATCGTAATCATCTTCCTCTGTATCCCCCTCCCCATCAGCAAAAGTACCTCTAGTCAAGAAATCGGAGCGCGTCCGCGCCATTCGAGCTTTCTTTTTATGGGCCGGTCTGGCAACCTGCTTGACCAAATGATAAAACAAATAACACAACAATGTTTTGTTTTGTTTTTGAGATGATGCCAATGAAAGATATCAGAGAGCTCATGAATTTCTTGAAATATCCCTCCACCCACAATGTACTTTCCACTAGAAGTGACAGAGATAACCAAAAGCAACCCATATACATTACTCTGGACAAAGGATGAGAATGGAAGCTAAATTTACATTGTTCTTCTCCATAGCCAAGGAAGTCATCTTTCACTGCCATAATAAGTCACAAAAATCACTTGCATAAATTGCCTTCTTTTTCTTAGCAACTTCTTTTTTGTAAATACCATCTGGGTTTGTAGACACCATTCCCTGCCTAAAGTACACCTCCCTAAGTAAGAACAAACTTAACTCATGGCTTCTTTCTCTACAAATGCTTCAGATTAAATGGGTAGATGAGATGCTATGTCTACAAGAATAGTAATTTCCAAAATAGCATGCATTGATTTTGCATAAAATATAGATAGGCAAAATTCCATACTTACCTCTCCTTGGCCCGGCCCAGTTAACTTCATAGGTTTCCAAATTGGTTCATCTTGTTTATGGACTTTAGGATTTCCACTGTTTAAGGATTCCCTGTTGACACTTAGAAATAAAAAAGCAGGATTACATTTCAATTCCTGGCAGCAGTCTTCAAGTACAGCATAAAATATACTTCCACAGCCAGGTTGAAGAATTCCAGCAAATTCCATACATATTCAATTCCCAAAAAAATATATAAAAATTTTTCTGATTATCACATTGATACTATTATCAAGAATTTATGGTTTTTTCAAGGTGGGGCGGGATAGGTGAATCTTTCTTGATCCTCCTCCCAGAACCAAACTAGGAATAAAACTAAATTGGGGAACATTCTCCCTGAATTAGTCAACTGAAGACTAGCTGAAGAAGAGACTTTTAAACAACTAAGGGCAAAAACCACCTTGAGACTGCACCTATACAACAGCTTGCATGATGTGGTCAGGGTTGAGCATCATAGTCAGCCAACCTAGGGGAGATTCCACCCACAAAGGGGACAACAACAATCAAGACCCAATTACCAGAAGAGAGCCCAAAGAACCCACAAAAGGAACATTTCTAGAGCATCCAACTCAGGAGGTAAAAGAGACTGCACCACTGGATACCACAGGACACTTAACACGTTAAGCGCCAAGCCTGTTTTGTCTTCCCTTCCATTTAGCCTGCGATATCCCATTTCACCAATATGCTGGTGGCCGGAGACTGACATGGTCCAAACGAAAAGTATAATGTCAGTCACTGGTGACTGACATGGTGCTTAACGTGTTAAGGCCACCTCACAAAGCCTGGGAGTCATAGCAGCTATATCTAATACATAGAAACAAACACAAAGAGGCAGCTAAAGTGGGAAGACAAAGAAACAACCCCAAATGAAAGAAAAAAGGACTCTCCAGAAAAAGAGCAAAATGAAATAGAGGCAAGCAATTTGTCAGACAAAGAGTTCAGAATAAGGATGCTCAAGGAATTTAGTGAGAATTACAAGGAACTTAATGGGAACTACAAGGAACTTAGTGGGAATTACTACATCAGCATAAAAAAGGACATAGAAACCCTGAAGAACCAGAAAGAAATAAAGAATACCTTATCTGACATCAAAATATAAGGAATTAAAAGTAGGCTGGATGGAGCAGAGGATTGAATCAGTGATGTGTAAGGAAAAAAACAACAACCAATAAGAACAACAAAAAGAAAAAGAATTTTAAAAAACAAGAATAGTTTAAGGGAACTTTGGGACAACATGAAACATAACAATATCCGTATCATAGGGGTACCAGAAGAAGAAGTAAGCAAGGAACAAAAAACCTATTTGAAGAAATAATGACAGAAAACTTCCCTAACCTGGTGAAAGAAAAAGTCACACAAGTTCAAGAAGCACAAGAGAGTTCCAATCAAGATGAACACAAAGAGACCCACCCCAAGACACATCAAGATTAAAATGGCAAACATTAAAGACAAAGAGAGAATCTTAAAGGCAGCAAAAGAGAAAGTTACCTATAAGAGCATTCGCATAAGGACATCAGCTAATTTTCCAACAGAAACACTTCAGGCCAGAAGGGACTGGCATGAAGCATTCAAAGTAATGAAAAGCAAGGACCTGAATCCAAGACTACTCTATTGAGCAAGGTCATCATTTGAAATTGAAGGCCAAATAAACAGCTTCCCAGGCCCCCCCCCCCCCAAAAAAAAGGTAAAAGAAGTTCAATACCACAAACCAGCATTGCAAAAAATGTTAAAGGGACTTGTGGACAAAAGGGGCCACATGCTAACCTGACAAGCTCAGGGAAGGACTGCATAGCAGTCTTGCAAACTCAGAGACCTAAAGTAACCACAAAGGATGGTCTGAAATTAAACTTTAACTAAAAGCAGTTATGGGTAGTTATATCCTAGGCCAGTATATTCACTGACAAGCTCAACCTTTAATTTAACTGAGCCTGTCTGTCTTTTTGCATCTATAATAACATACCCTTGAAATGTCTGGGTAACTTGTAACTTCCCTTTTTCTGGACCTCTTGGGGCACAGTCTAATGTGCCTGGGCACCAGGACAGATACCACAAATTCCTTCATTGTTATCATGTTCATTGTTCCTGCAACCACCTAAGTATGTGTCTATCATTTTATTTCTTATCCAATCCCAGGGGATCCCCTCCCCCTTGCTTTCTCCTGCCTCTCTAATCTATCACCAATGGATTTCATGTAACCCATCTATGTCTCCTCCTTTGATTGTAATGTATAAAAATAGATGTAACACCGCCATTCTCCAAAGCATTATCTCAAAATCCTATCTAATAAAAGAGAAACATGGTAATTAGCCATACATCCGCTACCCTTCCCGTTGGCTAATCAGGGCGATATGCAAATTAACTGCCAGCCAAGATGGCGGCCGGCAGCCATCCATTGAAGCGAACAGGGAGGCTTGCTTGCTCCAGTGACTGCGGACTCCAACGTTCCCCGCCTGACTTGCCGGCCTCTCAGCTGCAACTCTAAGCAACTATGTTGCAAATATAGAAGCTAAAC